GAAAATCCCCCTGAAAACTTAATCAGTGCAGTCAGTTCATCCAGATTACCATCCTGCCTTCCAATATTATTTCTGTCGGAGCCGCTCAGACCCCCACATACCAGCGGTGCGCTGTCAGTAGGAATCCCATTCAACAGCAGCCTCTGGCCGGGTCGCCTCCTCGCGGTGCGGCGGCTTGTAGGTGTTTTTAATCTAAATAATCCAAACTGCAGGCAGCAGGATAATAAAAGCGAACATATTCTGTTGGCAGGTTTCAGCATTTTAAGCTAATTTAGGCGTCAATAAACTGTTTCAGAGGAGTGATCACAGCGCTCTGTGTCATCAGCGATGTGTCTGTCTCCCTGCCAGCTCCCAGATCAGCTTCTCTGATTGGTTGATGCGGCAAGTCGAGCAGCAACAGTTCAATTTTTCCATCTCGAGCAGCAGCGCGTCACGTGCACCTGCTGCTCAAAACACGCTGCGGGACATTTTGCTGCGCCTTGACGCGCGTCAACCATTGACTTTGCATGTAAACTCGCCGCTTCTGCTGCGCCTGCTGCGTCCGGTGTGAACGTAGCATAAGAGTTCTTAACATAGAATCTCTTAAAAAAACAAAAACAACTTTTTTTTGTTTTACTTCACAAAAAACATTTCACTTTTCCTTCCTGTGACAGATTAAATATCAAGTCATTGCCTTTGTTGTTGCACACTGAATGTCTAAGAAGGGGTCTGAAATAATAAGAGGTTAAATATTTTTTTTATTTTTTCCCCTGAAGTGAAATAAGCTCAGGTTGTTGTTGGGACAGGATCGCACATCTGTAAATGATTATCTCTGTTTTTCCATCCTTCAGGGAGGAGGAATTAACATACTCCGTGATGTTTGAAATAAAGTCAATTTCAGTCAGGTTGGATAAAATATGTTCCAGATGACAAGTTTGACAGTAATATAAAACAAGGTTTATTTGTTGAGTGTAAAAAGGTTTTCTTGATACTTTAGCTCCAGATGCAGCACTTTAAGGCTTCAAACACGTTTATATAAAAAGGTTTTCCATCTATAATCTGAATCCTTACTATAAAAACCGTTTTAATTATTTGGGAGGGCAAAAAATAAGTTTTATATTGCCACTTTTGTTTTATTTTTGGGATTAAGCTTTCCCCCTCTTATGTAACTCCTCCTCTTTTCTCTTCTCATCCAGTTCCTGCTTTTGCTGGGATGCTTCGCGCTCTTCTGGTCCCTCTACTACATCTTGGACGTCACGCTCGGTCAAACGAACCTCAGGGGCCTCCTGTGTCTGCCGAGGAAACGGAGCCGTCAAAGAACCGGCCACGTTGGCAAAGTGAGGGGAACGGAGGAGGTGTACCAGGAGGTGTATCAGGAGGACCAGGACTCTGGGGTGGAGGCTGTGAGTGACGTGGAGGTGAAGGTTCCCATCACCAGGGAACATCTGGAGACGTAGCGCCCGGACTAAATGTTCAACCTCTCTCTGTGCCCATGGGGTTTTCTCAGGCTTCTTACTCTGCTCTGATTGCACTCAGCTCTAGCAGCAGTGATGGTTTTCAAAAACCGAACTGCAAATAAACCACTTTGCTGCAGCTACACCCCACCCCCCCCAAAAAAAACAGAAATTGGCCTTGTGTGTGTTTGAGCTGCAGTTGTAAGTCTGTTTTTGTGCACTTCTTCTCAACCAGGAAAAAAATGGATATCATTTCTGTCATAGTTCGCTTTAAAACTGGGTTTTAAAAAACTGCTTAGGGTCTAACCTCCCAGTTTAACAGCAGAGCCACATATAAGGCTGTGATATTTTTACCCAAAGAGAAATAATGTTTTAGATTCAGGTGAAAAAATACCTGTGGGGTGAAAAGGAAACCTATTCTGTGCAATATATAATGGAAGGTGTGTGTGTGTGTGTGAGAGATGGGAGTGTTTGTACTTGTGACACCCAGGGTCTTCCTTTTTAAAAGTGTTCATATAATGTGACTTTCAAAGGGGTACTCTTGTAATTTTTTATATCTGATCTGTAATTTCATGCTTTAGATTTGTACATCCGGGTTTTTTTTTTTTTTATATCAGGGGTTTATTAAAGAACATCTGATTAAAACTTGAAGTAGGATTTTTTTTTTTTTTAAGCTTGGGGATTGTTGGTATATTTTTTTTCTTTTTATAAATTGTAATATATCAAAATATTTGTGCCTGCAGAAGAGATTTGCTGTGTACAGACTGCATCATGGGATTTAAAAAAAAAAGAATGTATTCGAAGCTGCAGGTGCTTTTATATGCCGAGGAACAATTTTTCCAAAGGGTAACTGTTTTGGTGAGCAAGTCACAGATTGTTGAATAAAATGAATTAAGTACTTATTGGAACTGATAAGCCTTTTTTTACTTTGTATTTTTTTATTCAATTTAATAAAGCAATATAATAAATGACAAAAGATTTCATGACTTTTTTTGTGTTAAATGTTTAAATTTCTAGAAATTAGTAGCTTTTTTCCACTTTAGACATTAACATAATGTTAGATTTTTTTTCCCTCAGCTACCATTTCCGGTCTTAATGTACGGAAGAGGATTAGGGCCACTGAAAAAAAAAGTTAACTGATTTTTTAAATTTTCTTTCAGTTTAACATGGGAAAAAAGTCAGAATTCTGACTTTAAACTCAGAATTCTGACTTTTTTATTGTCAGAATTCAGTCAGAATTCTGAGATTAAAGTCATAGTTCTAATTAATTCTGATTAAAAAAAGTCAGAATTCTAACTTTTTTTTCAGTGGCCCTAATCCTCTTCTGTATTAATGGCTTAACTATCTTGGAAAGATGCATGTATGCTTACACCTGTAGAAAGATAAACCATTTTTAGGCTGTAGAGAAACTGCAGAGGGTTTTTTTTTTATTATTCCTTTCTGGTCTAATTTATTTCCCTAGGTTGGATACTTTAATCTTTGCCATGGCAGAAGTTTACATAGATCCATTTTTTTCTTCTATTTCTGCATAAAGTGTGAATAGACTGAAAACTACTTACCAAAAACAGCTGTTTTAGCTTAATTCAGAATGTGGATGACTGGAAAGTTGGAATTCCTGCCTTTTTTTCTGGTCAGTGAATGCACCGTTACATAGAACTAGATTGCCCAAAAACACTTCCCTATGTGGCTGTTGGTGGTTCTGGAGCAGGGTTAAACTTCCACTAAAGACTCATTCCTCACTAAGCAGCCGTTGGCCGTTTCTAAGGAACCACAACCTCGCAGCTAAAACTTGTTCGGCCATTTGATTGCATCACTATAAATATGTCTTCCACTCTTTTTTATTTCTTTTCGCCTTTTAGTTTTGGTTGAGGATCACAATTAGGGCTGAAACAATTAATTGATTATTGAAATAACTAATTTTGTAATTGTTAATCATAAACTATAGAGACTGAAATATGTCTTCAGCTGACAGAGAACCCCATTAAGAGCAAAAATTGTACCAAGATTGTAAAAAAAAAAAAAATATATATATATATATATATATATATATATATATACTTATAAATATGCTCTATCCAGAACTCAAGTGGAAAACTTTTAGTTTCACCTGGTTTCATTCTGTAAAAAATCTCTAGGGAACGTTTTCCTATATGATTATTAATAGAAAAAAATTATCAGCTGATAAATTGGGCAAAAATAATCATTAGCTGCAACCCTAATCACAATACAGAGAGAGAATCTGATATGCAAATCCTATTTATCTGTCAGCAGACGCGCAATTATCGCCTGCTTCATTCATTGATGCTGTATTAACCAGTTTAATTAACCTGCTTTACTTTTTTCACACCTGAGTTTATAACTCCAATTGTCCCAAACCAAAGACTCGCATGAACATTTCTTAACCATTTTAAATCATTTCAATTGCACCAAAAAAAACCCCCCAAAAAAAACAGTTTAAATGGTGTCCATTAATTCTTTGTAGGAGAGCTCAAAGGTTAAATTGGAATCAGCCAGAATCACAAATGTATGTCAATCATTATTTATTAAGACAATGTACAAAACTTTTGATACTGACACAGCAGGTGTAGCAAAGTAAGAAGGGACTTTTTACTTAACTATTCAGTAGCAGTAAAGTTTAAGACCAACTGCAAACTCTTTGCTTGTGTTTGGCAATTTAGGACAAAATCTCTTGAAAATATTCTCTGAATAAACTGATGCTTTATCTTAGTGTCTGGAATCTGATGGACTTTGGGCTTATAACAAAATTTAAACGAGTCAAAAATAACTAATTCTCAAAGAATGCATTAGATTTTTTTTTTTTTGGTTGTTTTGCATAAACTGCAGCTGGTAGGAAAAAAAAGCGATGCTGCAGTGGTCAACAGAGTAAACATAAAGAAACCTCAATGCAGGGCGTTAGAATAAAGAGGATTATAGGTTGGAAGAAGCACCTAAAATCTAGATTGGTAAAGTTAAGATGAAAAGGACCAGTTAGTTATCCAAAGGCTCCTGGAGGATGTCTGGGGCATCTGAGGCTTCAGGGGAAAATGGGCTAAAGAGGTTTCTCATATCTGTAAATCAGGGATTTTAAAGGATCTGTCGGGGTCGGCCGTAGCTCATGCCCTCCTGACTGGCTCCCTTATTGGACCCCATCTGCAGCCCGATCACGTTTTTCCCGGCCTTTAGCTGATCTTCGCTGAATTCTCGCTTGTTTTCTTGTGCTTTCCTGCAACATAACACCCAAAAACGTCATACAGTTGAAATGGTCAGTGCTATCCTTTCTTTGTACTGTTTATTTTTAATCTAGGATGGCCTGGTTGGTTTTACTCCACTCACTTGAAGAACCAGTTAGGATCTCCATTGTATGTGCCTTCCTCCTTGGTGACGGCCAGGCTGCCTAAGGCTGACAGGGTCCGCTGCACTGCTGCCAAGTCCTTACCTGTACAAACACATAACATGGAGGTTAAAGTACCAATAATTGACTGAAAACTGGTCTTTTCGCACAACGGGAAACCCGCTCTGACCTTCCCAGAGGTCCACAGTCTGAAACATGTCAGTTTTGGTGACACCGTACTTTTCCGCGGCGTTGAGGAACTGAGAGATCTGCTCCATTTGCTTAAAAGCCATCGGCGAGCTCTGGATCTTCTTTATCGGTTTGTTTCCAGGAAACAAACTGTTAATAAGTTCACTCAAGACCTGGCAGGGTGGCAGCAAACAGGTTTAAATGAAGGAGTGCTCTGCTAATGGAGGTTTATCAAACAGGATCTGGACACTCACGCATCCATCCTTTAGCCAGGCCTGGAAGCCGAGTTTCCCGGCCTCCGGCCTCCCGACGCCAGAGCCGCACTGACGGTTGATCCACTCCACCAGGATCTGCTCCAGCTCAGGGTCATACTTGCTGTCGATCTTATCCTGAACCTGCCGGCTCATGCCGTAGGATGGACCTTTGTTAGCCATGCCGACACCCTGGGAAATGAAAGAGATGGAGAGGAGGATGCATGAACATTAGCAGAACCACTACTGATCATGGCTTCATAAACACCATACTGTGACTTTCAACATGGCAATGCCTTTAGTCCAAAGTGGAGGTTTGTGGACGATGCAAGCAATGTAGCATTTGAATATTCTGCATTAATTTACTATAGACTCGCCGGCGCTAATATCAGTTTGCTTGAAAAGCCTCCATAAATTCAAACATCCAAAGCTGGGATTAACAATTTTTTAAGTCAAGCAGGTCTGAAGTCTCAAGCCATGTCTCTAAGTCGAGTCCAAAATCAATAAATTCAAATCTGAATAAGTAATTTTCACCAAATGCATTGAATAAATACAGAAAAATATTTTGAAAAGGTTTTTAATGCATCTTCCACAACAGATCAAGAAGGATGCATGATTTTAAATAAGAAATAGTAAACATAGTAATGATTTGTACGATAGTAGCCATTCAAAATTTCTCAACTTCCCTTGATTGGCCCTTGGCTGGTCCTCTACAATTCCTTCTTAAATATAAATATTTGTACTAAAATATTTTCTGTCATGATTTGTGGACATTAAGATCTAAAGAGAAGCGTCATCTCCTGGTTAGACCCTGTAATTCAGGGAAAAGGTAGAGTCAGAGTAAAAAAAAATATGCAAGAGGGGGTCACTCCAGTGGCTGGAAGCTGGAGGGGATTTCGCTGGGAGTTGCAGGGAAGTGGGCTGCCATCCGGATGGCGTTTGACTGGAAAGAGTCATTTTAAATGGCTGCTACTGTACATGTTTTTGCTATTTCTGCAGCACCTGGTTCATCCATCTGTTGATGAAACAACTTTTTAGGGAGCGCCCATTTTCTGTGAGGCTACCGTTAATGCTTTATGTATCAACATTTTCCATTTGTTAAAGAAGCATGTCATAGTTTGATAAGAATCCATTTAGGAATATATGCACAGATGACAGCTTTAATAACTGGTTGATTAATATTATTTGGGGAGAGTTGGTTGTTGGCCTACATATCAGGTATGTCAGCCTGGAAGTTGCTTTTGGGTTGAAATTTATTTTCTAGCCTAGAGCTAAAAAAGACAGATAAGGTCAAAGCATGATTTTCACATTTCTGTGGTTTGCATTTTTGGCTAAATATGGTTATTGTTTGTTACAAAAAAGATTCATACAGACCATGCATCTTTTGGTTTGTTGGTGGCTTGGTACAAATTTATGGCAAATTCCTGGTGTTTTGGGATTGTTTGATCCATTTAGTTTGTGACTTCAGTTATACTTGATTCAGCACTTCTGTTACTTACCTTGGACCAACTTTTCACACTATATATATATATATATATATATATATATATATATATATATATATATATATATATATATATATATATATATTTACAGTATTCTTAAGAAAATACACCAGCACAAACACACACATACACCCCACATGCAGATCAAAAGCGTGTAGATAAGTGTAAAAGCTCAGCACCGTCTGAACATTTTTATTCATCAGTGGTGTTCACAGCGTCTCGTCTCCCATTGCACCCCACTCTGCCTAATCAGAGTCTCCTGTCTGTTCAGGGTGAAATGGTTTACAGTGGGAGCGCTACAGAATACCAGCCATCAAATGTATGCTTTTTTTTTTGCCATTTAAATCCACTCTGTTAGCAAATGCAAACTGTCATAAATAATAGTTAAAAATTATAGCCTTTTGGGGCAACCAGCCAAGTGCAAAAGGCATATCAAAGCGCTGCTAGCACCATCCAACCTTTGTTGCCATCTTGATGTCAGGTCACGTTGACTTCCTGTACCTGGGGAGGTTAAGGAGTTAGGATGTTAAAGGTTTATGTTAGGAAATGACAGGAGAAGAGCCTCCTTGTTGTGATAGGATAGAAATGTTTTATTTCATTTTTTTCAAGCTTTCTGCTAACTGCAGCTTTAAATAAAAAAAAAAAATTAAGTTGGGATAATATTGGCTTAATTTTTAGAAAGCAACCTGAGTTCAATTGCATAGCTGATGTGCAGGAAAAGATATAACCAGTGAGAGCAGAGATACCAATATTCACATTTCTGGAGTGAGATCCAACTTATTTTTTATTAATACTGAGAAATTATTCTTAAAGTTATCAAAATGTCTGCACCAAAAGAGAAACATTTCTTCTTTGTGTTTGTGTAAATTCAGTGGTAATCTATGAGGCCCTAAGATGTTGATCGTTTTCTGTTGGTCTCACACAGTTTGTCTGGATGCTTTGGATGATATGGCTGTAGAACTTTGTGTGAAGTTCTACAGCCCAGTAGCCCAACACACTTTTTCCACATGGCTAATAAAAAGATGCTAATTAGCAATATTATTGAATGACTTATTGATGTACTGACTTTATTGATCTCAAAGTGAAGAAATATACTTGTTACAATGGCTCAAATAGTCAAAAAGAAGAAGAAGAGGGTGCTAAAGAAAGAAAAGTTGCTTATATATATATATATATATATATATATATATATATATATATATATATATATATATATATATATATATATATATGTAGCAGATTCTAGAATAGTTTCTTCCCCACTGGCATTAGACTGTTGAATGTTGTATAATATGGGGTTCTAAAAAAAACTGAATCTTTGAAACTGTAACTAAAATATAGTCGTATTTTTACATTTATCGTGCTGCACTTTAAAAAAGGAAAATGTCTTGAGAGCTGTACTGAACGAAATTTATTTTTGTATACACCCTGTGTGTACAAAATGACAATAAGTCTAAAAAAAAAAAAGAAACAAAAAAAATATATATATGCACCTTTTCTTTCTTTGTATGACAGTTGAAGTCTCTTTTTAGGCAGGATTATCATAAAGGGTTATTGCACAGGGTAATTATATAGATGGGTATTTATCTATATACCCTTTGCACTGGTTATCAAATATAAAGAAACAGCTTATTGCACAGGGTATTAAACATCAAATGCACAATATACTTTGCACAGGTTATTGCCGTTGTAGTGCTCCTGACAGTACCTCTGAATTTTCTCATTCTGAACCTTGAGGCACAGATTTGCATTAGTACTGCTTCAAGAGAAAACCTCCATGCAGTATATGTTAGCTGCTGCCTTTATCTGTAGGTAAAGTCTCAGGAGGCTAATTTAAAAAAAGGCTTACTGCCCGTTTTGTCATTTTGTAAAGGCTTACTTTGATTGTTTGTCTGTAAACAAACAATTTCTTACTCTGTTTAACCATAGTGCATCACTTTGTGTTCCTGGGTGTTATATAATTTAGATGAATCCATTTAAACACGTTCAAATGCCACCTATAATTAAAGTAAAGTAACTTAAGAAAGCCTTTACATCATGTCCCATTTTCATGTGCTGTGGTTTTGATCCTCTTTGGGGACAGCTGACTCCTCTTAAACATGATTGGACAGATTATAACCCATGACAGACCTGAATTAACTGAAAACCCTCCTGTTGGAAGATTAGATGTCTTGAAGGACCATGACTTGATCATAGAAGATTACTTTAAATCATCGGTTGTCAAAGCGGTTCTAAAAATGTTTGGACGCATGAGAACCGATGGGAAGAAATGTCTGGAGGAAGAAGGCTCCTTTTGAACCACAAAGAAGTCAGATTTGATACGACCCTAAAAACGGTTTAAAAGCACAAAAGGGGCAGAATAGGCAGCACCTGGAACGGATCAGTGGATTCAGAACCATGAAACAATATTAAGTTTTACTTAGCATTGAATAAGGTTCACAAAGTTAAGTAAAGACACGCTGCATGTCTGTATATATGAGCCAAAGCCATTAATGGACTCCTGCCCAGAATGGCCTCTGTGAGCTACCATCAACCCTTTTTAATATTTTTTACTTTCCCTGTGGTGGTTTTTCCAAACCACAAGAAACTAAACACACATAATGAGCAACACACTCACTAACATAAAACCTAAAGTTTACATACTATTATTCATCTCTATCACCCTCTTGTTTCCACACACACACACACTGCTATGTTCTTCACAACTCCTACTGACATCCATCACTGTTTAATCATTATTACAGAGTAGTGCCTGCCTGGAATATGCCCTCAAAGTGATCAAAAGACCGCAGCTGCAAAATAACATGGAGTAAACTCATGCCGGAGGGGAAAAAAAAGATGGAAACAAGGCTCTCTGTTTTTTTATGCACAAGGTCTAAAAAAGAAAAGAGAAAAGAGAAAGGAATGTGCATTACATGACAACCATAAGAGAGTTACATAAGATTTTTTGGGGTTAAACGAGTCCAAGTCTCTTTAGCTGGTATTTATGAGTATCCAGGGACCTGCTGTTATGCTTGGCAGGTGGCCCAGGGTCCAATAAGTCCGCATTATCTGCCCAACAAGCTTCTGTGCTGCCTGTCTGCTTATTACAAACAACATATGGGAACACTTTCCCCACACAATGCACTAAAAACAACCCTAAAATGTTGCAGCAACTTCAGCTGCAACACGTTTAAATGCTGTTTGTGCTTGTAAGAGAAACACCACTGAGAGTGTTAATTGTAAACGAACCCAGGGGTTAACAAGCACGTTGTGGCTCAAATAGAGACGTGTTTGATTGCGAGGCCAAATGTGTTGCAATGAATCGGTATTTCAAGCCCACACTGGCAGAGCTCTACATGATGAAAGCTACTTTTCAGAACAGTAAAATCCTCCTGCATTAAAAACGAACACATTTTCATCCAAGTATCAAATAGAAACCATAAGTTCCTTTTTTCAAAAGTCTAAAAGTGATTTCCAATTAATTTCCTCTACTCGCCCTCATAATGGCCATCTCTCCTTGTGTTTTTCTGCTCTGTTTCTCTGTCACCATGGTAAACGTGCCCAATGCCAGAACAGGAAACCCATGCAGGGCTGTGGCAGCCTGTGGAGACGTGGAGTCATGCAGCCATGGCTGCTCCACAGTTAACCAGCTAACCACCAAAATAAGAACTTGGATTCAGTAAAGCCCTTTTGTGGGAATAACAGTCCTTAAAATCATTTTGTTCCCTCAGCAGGAGCTGGTGGTCGATCAGTTAGTGGTGGGTTCAGATGGGATGAATCCAGCGGGTTTTCCCAGCTTTGTTTGACTGATGCATGATGAGGAACTGCTGCCTCAGAGCTCCTTTGTAGTTTTGCCTTGGTTTAGCATAAAACCTGCCATTCTTCCCTCTGATCTGCCAGACATTTATAAAGCCCGTTTTCAGAACCCGCTGCCAAAGCTCTTCCTGGTTCTGGTTATTTCGACAAACTGCATAACTGCTGTTTGTCAGATGTGATGTATTGCTGAGTCTGAAGCCCCGTCCAGGCTGTGCTCCAGTGGGCCTGACTGACACTCAGATGTGCTCGATTCCAGGATTTCTGCTTTGTTTATCCGCTGCTGCTAGATTGGCTGAAAAGATAATCTTATCTCGCTCCTGCTGCTTCTGTTCAGAAAATTAGGCTCCCGGCCGGTACTTCCTACATATCTGCTGTTCCTGGAAACTCTGAGTGTGCTGCCATTTTTAATGGTTCACTAGTTATCTCCAGTGCAAATATTCCAGAAAGCCATTTAGAATAAGCAGCAGCATCTTATGTGTCTAATTATGTCCACAAATACAATGCAGGGTATAAATATTGCTTTACTTTCTTGGGTATGAATCTGCCTCTTGATAAGATCATCTTCATACCAGGGATGGAGTTATAAGAATATGACTTCATGTGGAGCATCGGATTATTTGCATGTGCAAACAGGACTGTCAGAGCTGCTTATGCAGAGATATGAAGCACTGTATGATCTTTACTGCAGTCCTTAGCTTTGCATAAAAAGTAATTTTATTATACATGAAAAAAGAATCATGACTAAGAATATAAGGTGGTTTTGTTTCTAAAAGATCAAAATATTTAACAATATACCATAAAATGTTCTAAGTTAATCATCTTTATAGTGATAAAATCCCACTGCCAGACTGTTTGGAAATAAATATTTGATTAAAAAGGATTTAAAACTCTTTGAAATAACCAGAGAAGAAGGAATACTTACTTTGTAAGAGATTAGGTGAGTTCTGTGGCTTCTGGCTGTTGGTGCGGTGTGAGGGACAAGTGCGGATGCTTCACTCAGAGTTTGTATATGCCTCACAGGAACGTCCCCTCCCAAAAATGCCTGCTTAAAAGGAGGAGAAGGCAATGATGACTTCACTAGTCTACAGAGAGACAGAAGCAGGGTGGAGGGACGAGGGAAAAGGGAGCGGGGGAAGGAAGAAAAAAAGGAAACTTCACCCTTATAAGGCCATGGCCTTTCAGCAGCTCCCTCTCCCTGTCTGCTGTGCCTCTTCTCCTCACGTCAAACCCGGGCGCCCTGCCTTATTTGGGTAGAGCTCATTCCCATGCAGAGGAGGGAAACAGCAGCCAGGCAGCGTTGGTTTTGGTCAGAGGGAATTCTCCAAATACTTTCACCACATCACACATCACTCAGAGAGGCTGCGGGATGGTGGATGGGAAAGGGAATGGAAAGAAAACAGAGAAAATGTGGAGTAAAGACATGATGTCCTGCTCTATAACACAGACAGAATGATGAGGAGACGAGTGAGGCGCAGTAGAAAGGAAAACGCATCATTCATTCTGTCGAATGTAGAAACAGAGCTCCGTGTAAGCAGGGAGCGCTGTCACTGAATGCTGCTTGTGTGTCTATGACATTTCCATCATTTCCGTTCCATTACGACTGCCTTTTGGCATGACATGTTTACATCTGTGATCCCCTCTCTGTGACCATTACTGTAAGTTTGAAGGTCCACAGACACCACTTTCAATAACAAAACAAGGCAATCATTAAAAATCATCGTGTGGTGTTAGGAATACAAACAGTGCCTTTAAAATACTGTAATATTACAACCATGAAGCCAGTGTCGTTTATTCTGATTTTATGTGATTGAGCAAAACAAAATAGTGTATTAAAAGTTTGGTGACGAGACCAAGGAACAGAGAAGTTTAAGGCAGGATTAGGTTGTAGAAAAAAGATGCAAAACTTTGAAGCACTGTTAAATCCATCAACTGCAAGACTGCTGAGTACTAAACTAGACGAGCTGAGAAAGGAGAGCGGCGGAAAACATGCTTCTTTTAACCATGGAGGAGAGGCAGAGATCTGCAGCTCAGATGGGAGAGTTTGTAGACAGAACTCCACCAATATGACCTTTCTGGATCAGTGGCATAAAGGAGAGTTATTGCTGACATAAAGCCAGAGAGTCATTTTGCATGTTTACTTTTAAAACAAGGCAAGTTTATCTAAGCAGCACATCTCACTAGCAGGACAAGTCAAAGTGCTGTATATGAGAAAATGGAAACCTAAGAGGAAACAAAATGATTAATAAACACAAGTATTTAAGGAGAGTAAAAAAAATAGTGATTTAAACAATGAAATTATTATAGAAAATGATAGTTTCATAGGGATTCACGGTGGCCAAGCTTATACATTTGAAAAATTGAAATCTAGATAAGTAATTTTTTCTTAAAATAGGTGCATTTGCTCTTGGATTGAGGAGGTAAAAGAGACATCTTGCCAATGGAACAAGACAATTTAGACTTAAAATAAGAAAACACAATTGCATTGTCTTATTTTAAGTGCATATTATCTAATTATCTTATTTTAAGAGCAGAAATACTCATTCCATTGGCAAACTATCTCATTTACCTACTCAAATTAAGGGTAAATATACTTAATTTAAGAATTGTTTTACTTATTTGTAGATAATTTTTCCATTGTGTTTCCATATGTAGCACTGTTTTCTTGTAACAAGAGAATCCAGTTTTAGACTTAGACAGATTTATTTTGTCATTTTGTGTACACAAATATAAACAAAAAGAAATTTAATTTAAAACAATTATATTTTTAATTTAATTTTTTAAAGTGCAGCCTTGAAAAACATTAATAAATACATAAGAAATAGCCATATAAATATATAGCTATATATTTACAGTTCTAACATTAATTTCTTTTTATTCCTGCACTGCAAAGATGATCTAGAAATAAGTCAAAATGTCTTACATTAAGTGTATTTACCTTTAACTTGAGTAGGTAAAAAAGATGATTTGCCGATGGAATGAGGATTTTTACTATTAAAATAAGGTCATTAGATAATATACACTTGAAATAAGACAATTAAATATTTTTTTCCCTTATTTTTAATGTAAATTGCCTGTTCCATTGGCAAACTGTCTCAGTTACCTCCTGAATTCAAGAAAAAAGAACACTTATTTTAAGAAAAAATTACTTATTGTCATGGTTTTGGTTCTGTTCAACTGCAAAAACTATCTAGAAATAAGTAAAAAATTTCCTAAATTAAGTGTATTCACTCTTAATTTGAGTAGGTAAATGAGATAGTTTGCCAATGGAATGAGTAATTTTACTCTTAAAATAAGATAAATAGATAATATGCACTTGAAATAAGACAATGCAATTGTGTTTTCTTATTTTAAGGGTAAATTGTCTTGTTCCATTAGCAAAATGCCTATTTTACCTCCTCAATTCAAGAACAAATGCACTTATTTTAAGAAAAAAATGACTTATCTAGATTTAGATTTTTTGCAGTCTTATTTCCATTTTGGTGTTCTAGTTACTTTTGATTGTTTTTGAGTTCTTAGATATTTCTTGTTTGCCCTCCTGTGTCTCTGAGCTCCCTTCTTGCCTCTGTTCACACCTGCTCCCAATCTGCTAATTAGCCTGGTCTTTGTTTCTCTCTCTCATGTACCCTCCTTCTGTTTAGTCACTCTTTGCTGGTTTGTTGTCATTACTTTGTCCCCTTCTTGTTGTGAGTATTCCTGGTTTTCAGCATTTTTTGAAGGGATTTTTGTGGATTTATATTTTTTGATTTTTTGCTTCTGTTGAACTTTTTGGAATATAAATCTTCAAGTAACCTCCTTCATTTTCAGTCTGCATTTGGGTCCTGTCAAACCCCAGCCTCCACTTGACATTCCTCTAGATTTAAAAATTTTTTTTTTAGTCTTGGCTCTGGATTTGTTTGTTTTTTTACATGAAGTTTGCAGGTTCTCTTTGGATGCTGCAGCTACCTCCCAAAAAAAAGACTTCTAGGTTATTGAATGTCTCTAAATGGCTCTTAGGTGTGTGGGTAAATGGTTGCATGTCTCTGTGTTGCCCTGCGATGGACTGGCAACCTGTCCAGGATGTGCTCCGCCTTTTGCCCATAAACTACTGGCAATATTTTTTTTGTTTTTTGTCATGGGCCAGTTAACGTCCAGGTCCAAATCAAATTGAGATTTTATGGTAAAACTCAAAACTGATTGTTACAGAACTTCTGCTGGTCCAATTTAAAAATCATCAACATAAAACATTACAGGTTATAGTTGCAACTGTAAAAAAGTTCAAGAGGTGCTAATAGGTTTGCACAAAACTGAAGGAAAATAAAGAAACAGACACAAGCAACAAAGGAGCAAGCTGGCATTATCAAAGCAGCGCCTCCGTTTCTTTTTCTGTAAGGATCCGGCTTTATAAACAGCAGGTCATCTCATTTGATCCTCCTCTTAGCAGCTGTAAGAAAGAGCAGATCCAGATGTTCTTCTGTCTCCTTTTTTTGTGTGTGTGTGTGTGTGTGGGAGGGTTTGGTCGATTTTCCTTTTAATGGAGCCGTTTCTGACGAGGACTGTAAAAGATCCAAGAGATGATAAACACAGCTGTGACATTTTAGCCCAAATGAACGTCTATTAACATCCAACAGTGATGAAAGCTAAAAAATACATCAGAGGGAAACATTATTTTGACTGCAAGGGATGTTTGACCAGTAGAACCTCTGTAATAGCAATGCATATTCTCACAAAACTATTTTAAACAGCAACAGAATGAAAGTTGTTCAACCCTACACTATTTCATTAATCATTCTGCTTGTTTTGGTTTAAATGTTCTTCACTGAAGGCTCTCTTTGATATCATTTATCAAACATTTGCATTTCTGTGAAACAACTCGGCTCTGGGACTAGTCTACAGAAGAGAGGAATAACGAGCAGGTAATTTGATTAAGTGCTGTAAACTCTATTACATACTTGGCGTAGCTGAGTTACTGAAACAGAAAGTTGGCTGAGGATCCTGGAGTAACTGAACCAGATGGAGGGAGGTTAATAAGCGGAAAGCCTCGTCCTGTATTTCTATTTAATCGCTGTCAGATCTGCTGGAGATGAAACAGGCAGGTGTGTGAAGATGGGGTTGCTCAGGTAACAGGGAGGTCTGCAAAGGGAAGGCGAGCCCTTCTGCTGCGTTGCTGCAAACCAGGAAGTGGCTTATTGATCTAAAGAGGCGCCTCCCAAACATTTCAGTCTGTTAGGCCCAAAAATAATACAACAGACTAATGACCCCAAAGTGCATAGAATTACTTTACTCGTTATTTATCAATATGAAATTAAGCAACTATATTCTTTTTTTTTTAATAAACTTATTTTAAATTGAAAATTATTTAATCTAACATTTCAAATATTTTTGCAATGTTTGTTAGTGTGTTTATGCATTTTAAATCTAATATTTAATGGAATATTCAATAATTTAAAAAATGCATTTTACAATTTAATGGTATATTTAATATTTGAGTCATTTACCTTTTTCATGTAACATTTATTTTTATGAGACATTCACATTTATGCATTTAATGGCATATTTTAGTCCTCTATTCCTCAGGGATTTATTACAATGATTGTGAAAACCATCTTTCAACCACTTAGGGGTTCTCAGGGGTTAAACAGTTCAACTAAAACATCATTAGTTCAACTTTTGTTATTTACTTTAGTCCAACTGTTTTTAATATTTTTTATTTCTGCATTTTGTATTTTATTTATTTATTTTTTCCTACTTTCTTTGATTCTGTTTTATTTTCCTGTATTTTAATCATGTAAATCACTTTGCATTGTCTTTGTACTGAATTGTGCTATGCAAATAAATTTGCCTTGCCTTGCCTGACCCCCATTTTGTGAACCTCTGGCCTAAAAGTTATTCTGGCAAAGGCTTGATAAGTTAATGTCTGTTGAATGCAACATGAAGAGAAATGGCAAGGTTGTCAAGGCAATGAGGAAGTATACCTAGGCTGAACCACAACCCTGCCTGGATTCAGCAGGATGGATGTTTCCACTTACAGAAGAGGAGGGCATCGCTGTCAGGTGCCTGATCAGGGGAAGAGCCTCAGCTATCATCATTCTGTTCACAAGTAAATACCAGTATGTGATGTGCACTGGAAAAAACTTCTAGAAATAAGGAAAAATTTCCTAAAGTAAGTGTATTTATCCTTAATTTGAGTAGGTAAATAAGATGATTTGCCAATGGAATGAGTATTTTTACTCTTAAAATAAGATTATTGGATAAAAAGCACTTGAAATAAGACAATGCAATTGTTTTTTTCTTATTTAAAATTAAATTGTCTTGTTCCATTGGCAAAATGTTCTTTTTTATCTCCTCAATTCAAGAAAAAATGCACTTATTTTAAGAAAAAATGACTTATCTAGATTTGAATTTTTCTAGTGTGTGTTTTATTGCATTTAGATTTTTATCGTGACATATTTCATGATCTTGGTGCTGTTGACTGGCTGGATGACTCATTTCTTTCACCTGCCTAACGTTTTCACGTTAATCTGATCCACCTGCTCATTCTTCTATTTAACCAGCGCTCTAACAAGTCATCAGGGCCAGATTATTATTGAGCCAGTGGTGAGAGTGATCCAGCGTTATGAGTGTTTCTGATTACCTGGTCCTGACCTGTTCTGCCTCTCAACCACTGAGCCTGCGTATTCCCATCTGATCTGTTTGCCTGACCTGTCTTTGGACTCTTGCTAGATTTTGCCAGTTTGCTGAACTTGGAACTGCTTCCTGATGCTATTCTGGATTTCACTTTGGAACCTCTTCGAACTTCTGGACTCCTGATTCTGAATCCTGTCCATCCCCTCGACCACGACTTTGGCTTTGCCCTCTGGATTGTCCTGCCTTCCTTCAGATCTGATCCCCTACTTGATCTTCTGCTTCTGGGACTACGCAATCAGGGCGGCGGCTTGTTGTCAGCCAACCAGCTGGAATCAACCTTATTCTCTGGGCACTGACTGAACTATAACACCAGGTTAGTGACTCCCACGTTCGTAATCATCCTCCGTCAGATTAACGTGGTCACTTACCTGAGTTTTCCTCCTGCAGAGGTTCCTGTGCTAGACGTCCTCGCTGTTGCTTCAATTCCGCCATTTTAAATGAAACACTTTTTTGAATTATCTGTCTGTCTGCATTGAATGCTGGGTCCTTTGTTCTCAGCCATGACAATATATTTGTAAAAAAAACTGTATCAAGCATTTTTTTGCCTGATGCATGGGTCTTTTCTGATTTCAACTTTTATTATGTTTAGTATATATATAAAAAAAATTTAGACATACAAGGATGTCTATGATAAAATATTTGTGTTTCAGTTTCAAAAATCATTTTTAATGAACGACAGTTGACATTAGCACTGATCTGGGCTCAGCTTTGCCTTGTATATTCTCCATATCACCAGATACTCCTCCTGCCTCCCAGACCAAAAAAGGAACTAGTCCTCCACTGGCCTTATTTTATTATATTTTTTTATATCCATTTGTGTGATGGACTGATGACCTGTCCAGGCAGACCCTGCCTTTCGCCCAATGACTACTGCAGATGGGCACCATTCCCCAGAGCGCTGCAAGGAAAAGGAATAACAGATGCCATAATTTTAAAGCGTTTACATCTAAAGCTGATATGGTAAATTTTTTTCATCAAAGAAACAGTGTGGAAATGGATGGCGATACTCGATAAACTGGAGTGGCTGGTATGACCAAATATCTGCTGTGTGTGTTATCTATGTGCTTTTATTTTACATACTTATATTAAAGCAGGTTATTTATCTTTCAGCTGTCTGCTTGCCTTGAGGGACAGTGAAACAACATATTTAGTGTTTTACTGCCAGGAAACATTACAACAGGACCATTGTCATGACCGGCTAACATCTATTTGAATTTATGGGTGAATGTTTGCACTAAAAAAGCCATCATATCTCAGACAATCTTTTATTACATCCAAATACACATTTTTAATTGAGAACATTCATGTGATGTATAAATCATTGTCTGTAATCACATACGTAACTAAAGCAAAGGGGCTTATGCTATAGGATAAATCATACAGTAGATCCCAGATCGTAACAGTTCTCTTTATTTACTGATTTTTTTTTTTTCTTGGTTTTATGAAGACAGGTTTTAGAGGATTTGTGGAGCCCCGTTGGTTGGTCAGTAAGTGTAAGGGTACAAAATGTGACCGGTGAATATATTGTGCTCCAGCTTTGTGCAAAGTTTTCTCCCAGACATCAGCTCCAGATAGACCTGATCGCCTCGCTGCATCTCCATCACCACAACCTGAGAACAAGCGTACGTCAACAAAACATTTCGAAGAATTCAGGGTGAAAAAAGGGAATCCTTTGTGTTTTTAATGCTATTTTCCAATCTAACCTGAGTGGCGCTGTCCTCGATATCTTCTCGATTGTTCTCCCATACGCTGACCCCAACTTTACCGTTCTTCATAAGCTGGACCTACGCATGCAAAAAAAAAAAAAAAAAGAACTCAATAAAAATACTTTGGCTAAAAAAAACAAAACATTAAAATAAAGGCCTACTTTGTGGTAGAGGCGTCCCCCTTCTGCAACGGATGAGTAAACGGTGAAGGAAAACATATAAACACCAGGACAACTGGCTGTGAACACACCTGCAGAAAAAAGTAAACCATTTTAAATTTTTTTTTATTTTTTAATTAATGGTACAATTATCTTCCCAAAGCTGAGTCAGTTTCTCGTGTGCTGCTTTACCCAGTGCTGGGTTGTATCTGTCGCCAGAGTTAAGTGTTACATTGGGGTAGGGGATGGGTACGTTGGTATTAAACGGACCAAAGCAACGCTCAGGGGATCCAAAATTTTCAATAGCCATATTTGCAGTCATGGTGGCCATGAAGGAAACCTTGAAACCATCTGAAAGAAATGATAAGAAACTATTCACTAACAACTCTCATGCAAAAAAATGTAAAGTTCTGTTCATTTAGCACAGATGTACCTGAAAGCGCATTTACTCTGCTGTCCAGGATTGGGATTTTCTCCCACAAGTTTTTTATCCTCATGAAGCTCTCGTCCTCTACTTGGAACAAATCGTTGGCCGCACAGCAGCAGCCACGCTGACGATAGAAGGGACAGGTACAGTCCCACTTTCCGCAGGTTTGAGATCCTTCCCACTGAACTACAGCAAGTCAGGAAGGAGAAATACAGAATGTCAATTAGGATGCTGATCTTTACTGCTGACTCTGCTCAGATTTTATTTATTCAGCTCTTTTAATGCAAACAAATGTAGCATCAAGTGTATTTAAAATATAAGACGACTCTAAGGAATATTACATAAAGCTAAAAAATAAAACCAAAGAGATTCAAATCGGCTGCAGTTTTAAATAAGAGAACTAAACAAACAATATAGAAGGCCTAAAACAGGCAGAAAGTTACTGAAACACACAGAGAGCAAATAAAATTACATTTTACTTATAAGAGTTATAATTGCCATAAAAGGAAAAAAATCTACTGGAAAACTTGCTTGATTACATGCAAAAAGAATTAATAAAACTTTATAATGTGAGATTCAACCAAATACATAAAACAGAGTTGAAAACAAACTCGGACAGAAAAAACAAATGATTTTAATTGTTGCAAAGGAATGTGTGTCTGGTTTAAAGTTATCCATTTTTAGGCTTACGAGCTTCCAGTTTGAGGGCATCCAGAGAAGAAGACACGGCCTCCACACATCCAGAGAGAAACAACGACCCCAACAGGAACACTACGGCTAAAACACCCATCTGAAAAGAATACGAAAAAAAAAAAGAAAGTTTAATTTAGGATTGGGACCATAAATCCTCTTATGGAGCATTAAAAGCGACAGCTGAAATTATCTTTTTTATATATAGGCCTAACAAAAAGCAAAAAAAAAAGATACACAACCTTCAAACTTTATTGTTTTAGTTTTTTCATACATGGAGCCCTATGGTGGCAAATTACAGCTTTCTACACACTGAACATTTAGGATAAAATGCAAAATGCAAATTAAATTAGCAAAAGTTGAGGTGGTAAAATTTTAACACAACTTTTTAAGGAAATCCGTATCAGAGTTTTTTTTTTTTAAATCACTTTATTTCAAATCAAAGGCTTTCACCTGTTGTGCAATCAATTTAATTGCACTTAATTGAAAATAATGGGTTAGAAAGTTAAAGATAGGTATTGGTATATACTATGCAGTTGAATAATATGCACAGTTGTTCAGAATATCATTGTTTTTTTATAGGTAAAATATCTTATTGGAAAAGACTTATCTTTCCTTAGAAAACAGCAGGAATAATATTTTCTCTTTAGTTATAGGTCTTTCCACTGAACTCTTAGGTAACCTATAAGTGGCACATTTAATCCTAACTTTACTCAGAAGATTACTTTTCCAAACCCACAAATGAACAATTAATTAAATTAACATTGCACAGGGTGATGGACTGACTATGATTTGATGGTGTATCAGTTAGTTTCACCTATTTTTCTCTCAGTTTTCCTATGAAGGACTGAATTGCTTGCCGATATTTAACCAAATTAAGGCTGATAATCTAAAATAAAGAATTCAGTCTGCTATCTACACAGGAACTTGACACGGTAAACCCCAAAACTCCAGTATATGTCTAGTCTGCAGTTAACAAAGGTTTCCAAATTTGACCCCTTTTTTTTCTGAATCCTGATGGGAAAAAATAGGCAATAAACAATTTACTGTCTGCAATATCAAATATTACATTAGTGCAAGAAAAAAAAGGATAAATTGGAAAAATTATCTAAAAATAAGTAAAAATTTCTCAAATTAAGGGTATATACCCTTAATTTGAGTAGGTAAACGAGATAGTTTGCCAATGGGATGAGTGTTTTTTACTCTTAGAATAAGATAATCAGATAATGAGCACTTGAAATAAAACAATGCAATTGTTTTTTCTTGTTTTAAATGTAAATTGTCTCGTTCCATTGGTAAAATGTCTCACTTTCATCCTCAATTCAAGAAAAAATGCACTTATCTTAAGAAAAATTACTTACTTAGATTTCAACTTTTCACATTAATATGTTGCCATTCATTCAAGCTACATGCTCACAATCTAACCCATCATGATAAAGTAAACCTTAAACTCCAGACATTTGATTTTGTCTCCTAATGTAGATATAATAGCTCTTGTTTTTATAAAATACTGGTGAACTTGTAATTGATGTGACAATTAGCTCAGCTTTTGTGCGTAAATAAAGATGTATAACTTACTTTTTTGCTTAGTTGCTCCATCGTCAAGTTCAGAAATATTGTGTCAGGTTCAGGTGAGGGTGTAAAACTGAGAGTTTAAATCAGAGGAAGTCTCTGACCTCTTATTGATGGGCTAAAGGAGATCCACCCAGCAAGGTGGCAACCAGCTGTAGCTCCACCTCACATAAAAAAAACAGGCACTGTAAGAAAAAAACAAGAAAAAATTGGGCTTGTTTTCTCATAAATGACAGCCATTTCTGGTAATATAGTACGGAGGTGTTTTTTTCTTAGGTGTGAAAAAACAATCACTTGTGCTCCGTCTCTAGTGTCCTTTATTAGGACATTGGTCTCTAGTTGCCGTCCTTTCATAGGACCCTGCAGGCAATTGTTAAGATAGCAAAAGAATGCACTTAGAAATGTTTATCTGTCAATCTATATAGGGCTGAATATTGCTTTCTGATCAGATACAGTAGCTGAACCAGATACTGATTATTGCTTATTGTTGGTGAGGAAATGTGATATGCACAAGACACGCTTCATCATCATGTGAATGAAATGATCCTGAAGAAAAGCCAAATATGATAGATGTCCATAATGTACACAGGAAAAACACAATGGTGTGCGATACCTTAAACCTAGATAATAGGCTCTACATGTTCTAGTTGCTGTAGACTCTTGTTTTGTTTCTTCACCTTTTGTATATCTCTCTTTTCCATCTTCTCTTTTAAAAAACACAAAGCTTAATGTTCTTTATTGGGGTTTTATGTAAGCACCAACACAATTCTAATAGCTTATTGTGAAAAGCAGCAGCCCCTATGAGTTAAACTCTCACAGAACCACCTTCACTGCAGCACCTATATGTTTATGGATTTTTTTTCAGTAGGAATCTCCATGTCTAGGTAAAGCTACTTATTTAATTTTGGAGTGGAAACAATCTTTAGATCCTATATGAAAACAACAGATTCTCTTCAGTCAGAGGCTTCAGTGTAAAACAAACCCTTACAGAAGATCTTTATTGCCTACAGCTATTAAAATCTATAATAACTCGTCAAAAAAAGTATGAGTTACTGCAATTAGTTTCTCTTCACTGTCAATATAGTTCTTTTGAATAGAATTTCATTGAATTTGGGTCTTAATTTTGACTTAGTCATCCTTGCACTAGCCTCGTGAGACCATCCTGATCTCGCGAGCTTTCAAGATTTCACTCGCAGATCAGTCTGGAGACTCTCCGTTAAAGAAAGTTTGGAGCAATTCACCAAACGAACGTCCAATCAGCGTTGGCTTTGAGGCGGGTTGAGGTGTGACGCAACGAGAAGCGCGACAGTTCAGTCTAAAGAA